GTCGATCCAGAGGCCTAGGTCGACCCCAGAGGACAAGGTCGACCTTGTCCTCTGATATTGTGCCATGTCCTTCTCGGGTCGATTTGCCTCGAGCCCGTTTCTAATATATCCATCATCATTCCCCCACTCTTCGAGTTGTGAGTCATCGTCAGCGAAGGAGGGTAGCTTGCTTCGAAGGTCGACCTCGAGACCACGGACCCGAGGTCGATCTTGGCCAGGTCGGGGTCAGCCCCCAGACGAGGCCGAGGTCGACCTGTGCCGGGGTAGCCCTTGGCTCCTTGTACTGCGCCTTCCCTTCTTCGAGTCGGTTTGCCCCGAGCCTGTTCCTAATATATCCATCACTTCCAATTGACTCTTGAACTATTAAGATAAACCCTGTCTATGTGGATATTACATTTAGAGTTAATCAACATTTTGGTCTCTCAATTGTTTCTCAACTTTTAATGTAGTCCATAGTTTTTAATTTCAACCAATTTGATCCTCTAATTGTTTAAAATTTAATCAATTAAACCCTTTTAGGGACTAAAATGGTGATTTCAACATTTTAAAATTTCGTCAATTTGGTCCTTGTAAGGATTTAATTGATGAAATTTTAAACAATTTGATAATCAAATTGCTTGAAATTGAAAACTAATGATTACATTGACAGTTGAAAAATAATTGAGGGACTAAAATTGTGATTTCCCCTTATATTTATTTGTAAGTGTACAATATTATTCCTTACAATCCATGATGCCATAGCAGTATAGCACAATACTGGAGGGCATAGTGGATATATGAAGTACGGAAGAATTTCCTATTTATACTATGTGCCCAAGTCTCGTTTTAGAGTCAACTTGTAACCATCTCCAACGTGAGCAGCAAATCGGCAAATTGGCACAAAAAACGCCAAACTTTTGCCGATTCTGAATAGTGCTGCGCCAAATATGGCGCAACACTATTCTATTTTTTTTAAAAAAACTTTTATATTCTTGTTTTGGAAAATAGCACTTTTTTTCTCTGAGTTATATACTTATATTATTTTTTCTCCCGAATCATTCAAGTAGCTGTGTTTTTCCTAAAATATTAAATAGACATATTTACCTTTAAAATAAATATTTTATTTATTTTTCTTTTCCAACAAATTATGACCACAATTTGGTTCAAACCAAACAGACAGTATAGCAACCAAACCGAAATATTCAAATTACAATTTAGAATCGAAACCCGATATTTAAAGTTTATTAAAATCGCGAACTGGAACAGTCGGTTCATGCTCCGAACTGAAAAAAATAAAATACATTTATTGTTGAATTTAAACTATTTTAAAATAAAAAATAAAATTTTAAAATAAAGACGGTTCAAAATCACGAACCGAATTCGGAACCGCCGGTTCACGATTCAGGATCCAGTTTTTTCGATTCATAATTTTATTAAACTGGAATTCAAATTTTGGGTTCAGGATCTGAATCATAACCGGAAACTTTTAATTCGAACCGTGGTCATCCATACGTATACCCAATAATTTGTTGGAGAAGAAAAATAAATAAAATGCTTATTTTAAGAGTAGAAATGTCAATTTAATATATCAGGGGGAAAAACCGTCACTTTTAGAATAATTGAAGGAGCTAATGTGCTTACATGAATAATTCAGGGAAGAAAAGTGCTATAAGTATATAACTCAGGGAGAAAAAGTGTTATTTTTCCTTCTTATTTTACCCTTGTCAGTTTTTCTTAATTCTTTTTGTTTAAGGTTATATTTAACTATTTTGTTCAAGGTTGCAAAATACGTTAGGCAACCCCTAGGCGCCGGTTTTTTTTTTTTTTTTTTAATTTAAAAAAAAATAAATTAAAAAGTATCAAAATTCACTAAGAAAACATTATGGGTCCGTTTACCAACAGAAAACTGTTCTCTTTTTCTGTTTTCTAATTTTTTAGTTTTCATTCTCAGTTTTCCATTCTCTGTTTTCTGTTTAGAAAACTTGTTTAGTAACTGAAAACTGTTCTCCGTTTTCTATTTTCTAATTTTTCAGTTTTCACCTAAAAGTTAGTTTAGATAATATTAATAATTTTTGAGCTAATATTTAAAATATTTTTTTTTTTGGATATATTCATTTGAATGACATGTATATGAATATATAACTTTTACTTTGAATTCTAATATATGTGAGATTTTAATATCGAATATCTGGACCGAACTTGTATTATGATGTAACATAATTAAAAATATTCGAATTAATAATCTATTGAGTTCAATCAAAATCTAAATCATTATATATAGAGAGATTTTAATTCTTAATTTTGATAATGTAAATAATGTCTAACTTTAAAGTGTAAGCAAATAAATTATTTTTAAATAAGTAAACTAAGTAGAAAAGATAGAAGATAGTGATAAGTAAAATAAGATGATAAATTGATAATGAATATAATCATAGTAATGAGGTTATAGTGACATATAACTAAATAGATGATAGATGATTCTGTTTTCCATTTCGAAAACAGTTTTTAAGTGTGTTCCAGTTTTCCAGAAATTTCCAGAAATTATTTTCAGTTTTCAAAATGGAAACTGTGTTAGTAAACATGTTTTCTGTTTTCTATTTTCCAGTTACCGGAAATTCCCAGAAATTTTCAGTTAGTAAACGGCCCCTAAGGTTCTCATAGTTTTTCTTACAAACTATTTATTTAAGTGGCTATAAAATTGTTCAAAATATTGTTGAAACCATCTAAATACATTAAAAAAATCTTGAGAGCAAAAGAAGCATTTTTTTTTTTGAGAAATTGGTGGAGCAAACCGCTTTTGGTTGTTTGCGGTGTATAGATCTCGAAAAAATACGCGATTTGAAATTTTTTTTGTCCAAAACGGACAACCGAGTCAAAAGTTATGCCTTCGCAAAGTTTTTAACCCTAAATCCTAATAATAATAATAAACCAGCCGGCTAGGCGGCCTCCTAGCCGCCGGCCGCGGAGGAGGCCGATTCCGGCCTTCCTCGCGACGGCCGGCGCCTAGGCGCGATTTTGCAACATTGATTTTGTTAAATACTTAAATATAAATTATATCTCTTCAAAAAATATAAATTATATATTACTCTGTATTAAAAATAAGTTATATCATTTGAAATATCTCATCAAAACGATTAAAACAAGACTAGTATTGAATATAAATTAATTAAAAATTAAACTACACAAAACATAATTTTAACAAAATTAAATTGTACTAAGTATTATTATTTATATAACAAATTATATTTTGTATTAGACTAATAAACTTTTAAATTATGAAACACCAAATTATTTTAGTATAGAATAACATTTGGTGTAAAATTTTGGTGTGATAGGTTGGAGATAATAAAATTTGGGACAATACTACACGGACTCTAACAATTTTTGTATGTAGATCCTTTTCTTGGGACCCACATGATGAAAATATCTAATCATTGTTTGTCATGTCATGTCATGGAGTAAAAGTGAGGAAGTCGAATTTAGAAGTACATGTAGTAGAACTCTAAAATTTTATGTGAGAATAAGCCACTGAACTATTTGGAAAACAACAATTAAGCCATCGAACTCGAATAACTACCAAATAAGCCATTGAATCCGGAAAAAAAAAAAAAAGAGCAATTAACATTTTTAACTCCAGGTTTTTGCTAGCTGGATTGCCTAATGTTTATTTTATTTGCGTTTTTTTTTTATTTTTTTATTATAGAACACCTACATAGTAATATATTTTAAAGTAATTATAATCAAAATAGTTTTGTCTTGTCTAGATCTAATTTATTTATTTATTTATTATTTTTTAAACAGAAGATCCAATAAAAAAATAATAATAAATAAATAAATCAAATATCGATAAGACAAAACTATTTTGATTATAATAATTACTTTAAAATGTAATACTATCCAAGTGAATAATAATAATAATAATAATAATAATAATAATAATAATAATAATAATAATAATAAAAAAACAACGTAACTAAAATAAACATTTGGCAATCGGTAAGACAGTAAACAAAAATATGGAGTTAACTTGTTAAAAATGTTAATTGCTCTTTTTTTTTTTGGGTTTAATGACTTATTTGCTCTTTTTTTTTTTTTTTTTTTTTTTTTTTTTTTTTTTGGATTCAAGGACTTATTTGAAGTTATTTGAGTTTGATGGCTTAATTGTTGTTTCCTAAATAGTTTAGTGACTTATACGGTATCCCTATTCCTTTTTATATAAATTTTTTTATGTTTTGGGTTGGAAATGCTCTGGAAAATAAAAGTTTTCGTAGGTAGAAAAAAAAAATCAAAATTACAATCCACAATCTTCTCAGGGGCAGCTGGTACAACTACTGAGGTCATTCTGGTCAAAATGAGACACTATACCATTCAACATTCAACTACTAGTTTTATTATTAATATAGTCATCTCAGTCACGTGTCAAACATTTGAAATGTATTCCCAGAAAATTGTTGCCACTGTAGAACACCAATTTTCCTTGTATGATTAAACTCAAAATCCATGTCCAACTGAAAGGCATTGGCTCAAGAGAAAGGGATCATATTCGCTCATGGCACTTTTGGTTCGCAAAATAGGCTAAAATGACTCCAGTAATAAACCTATTCCTTTGTTTGATTATTCCCCTTACAAAGGAAATGGAGATTTATGGCCTCCTCTAGGTATTAAGCTATTCCCGAATTATCAAGAATAGCATAAAATTGCTATTTCATATTTTACCATTAATTAAATCTAAAATTTGCACCTCTTTCAGATTCAAACTCTTAAGCCTTCACAAAATATTTATTTGATTCTATGGTGAATATATATGGTATTTAACAAATAGACTAAAATTTAACAAACAGTCTATACAATGTGGATATGAATATTTTCTATATATATATATATATATATATATATATATATATATATATATTATATTTATAGGGAGGGGATACCATATTACATCAAATGCCTCCATTGAGGAGCCGAGCCTATCACCTCCCACATAGGAGAGCAGCGTGGTACCATTGGACTACAAGATCCTTAAATTAATAAAAGTGTAATATAATTTCTAAAGTCTATTTTTTTACGCGTAGCAAATAATAGAATACAATTAATATCATATTCTTTGTCGATTCCATTCCTTATGGAATAGGATTCCAATTACCTATTAATTCCTTCTGAACCAAACGTGCTGTCAAAGTATGAGGTATGCAGCAACCCTATTGAGAGAAGGAGAAATGTACAGGATGTTACTTTCAGGGAGTTATGTCTCTATGATCAGAATGACGCGAAGCCAGTAAAACCTTCCTCGTTTCGTCCCAGGTTAATAATCCATGGAAGCATTAGATCATTGAACAAAATGACTTAGCTGGATCACCATCACACTTATATCATCAAAGGAGCCTCTTGTGAGTGCCAAGTTAACAAGCTCTTTGCAAGCAGAGAGTGGGTGTGGTTTGTCAACACCTATGCACAAAGGCCTGACTGTATCAACTGCCTCCTGATTACTAACCTGCAAATGAGATAAGAATTGGGTATTTTAGATCACAATCTCTCAAGAACCGAAACTTTTATCTGCAATTAGAAGTGTATTTGGCTTGTTAATTTACCTTGTCCCAGACTCCATCAGAAGCCAGGATTAAGAATTCGAAGTCGGGTTCAGTGAACACTGTCTTCGTTTCCGGTTCTGCAATTACCCATTTTTTCAATTGGGCGTCCCCTATTCCTCTTGACACAGCAAGGGATCCCTGAATTCTCCAAACACCGCGGCAGCAATCAACATAACCACCCTGCAAGACCAAGCATTTTTTCGAATTGAGTAAACAGATTGATTGCTAAATCATTTTACCAAGCAATCTTTACATCTGAGAAGAATAGATCCATCATGCAACTCACCAGTGCCTCAATTCTTTCTCTCTCGCTTTCCCTCGAGGGGCGGTGATCGAGAGTGAGGACCTCTGCCATTCCTCCTCGGCTCATAACAGCGCGACAATCACCAGCATTCGAGACAACAAGTTTGCCTTTGTGAATCAATGCTGTTACACAGCTTGCTCCACTCCTGACATTTTGCTTTAGAAACTCTTCATCAGTGGTGAGATAACCCTCCTTAACCGCAGCTTCGATATCTTCTTCACTTCTTATGCCCACCTTGTTCATAATATTCCTACCCATATTTCTTGCTGCGAACTCTGCAGCTTTCACTCCTCCATGTCCATCAAATACGCCGAAGAAAGCCTGAAGAGTGAAGAGCACAGATTTAATTAAAACCTTGATTTCATTCACGGTGAACAAGACGCGATCCTTCAATTAAGGCGAGTAAAAGAACTAATACAATGATTTAATTTTTCGGTCAGGCATATATACAAACACTTTCAATCTGTTTTCCCCTATGTCTAGGATTGTGATTGCAAGGAGATCATATTGCATGACTATATGAATCTGTTTTTAAAAACTTAATTACACACTCATATATCCATTGAAATGATCAATATGCCGATGATAAGAATCCAGTAAACAGGTTTTTTTCGATCGAAGCTTATGAAAATGAAGAAAATCTCAATGAAGCGAGAAAGGCTGGAGTGAATTACCTGTTTAGAGCCTTGCTGGTGATCAACGAAGGCCGAATACCTATCCTCCATAGCACCCCGTTTCCCTCTTTTGCAATACACGGAGTAGCCTTCTCCTTCAACCTCTACCTCATCCAATCTATCGCCGTCCCTCGGAGTCTGCAGACTCGGCTCGAAACTCAACGCCGCCATCGGAATATTAATCCTCGCCGGCCTCTTCCTCTTCAGAACCGGCGTTGACGAGGTTGAGCAAATCGGCTCTTCATTAATCCCGTTCAGGATGATATTACGCGTCTGGGTGGGACGCCGGAGAGTCAACGGGCACAAGGTCGACGGCGGCGGCGTCACGGTGGACGGTGACAGGGAGGAGGAAGCATAAAGGCTCCGGCCGATCGGAGATGAAGCCGTTGATTTGCTGAACACCGGCGACGGTGAGAACACCGGTGAATGAACTACTGCGATAGACATTTTTGCTCCGAGTTTGATCCGTTCAAATTCAGTAGCGCAGAATGAATCGGAGCAAGGTCAGTAGCTTTATTTATACATGAATGGGAAAGCTATAGGTACTTCACGCTCTCGTAAACTTCGTGAAAACACGCGCGAGTACTTTTCTTACTCATTTCTCTAAATTTATCCTTTTCTCCCTAACATTTCTTTAAAATTACTCGTACTATTTAAGTTTTTTTTTTTTTTCCTAAATATTATTCTGTTGAATCCCCAACCCAAGGGACCCCACTCTCCAACCCGACGGGACATATGGATGTAAGTCATGGTAACTCAGCTGAACACAGAGGTTAGACTTTTATTTACTGCACTACTAAATATTTTACTATGTACGGAGTAATAAATACATTACCAGTACAATTTTTTTGACAAGCAAAATTAGTAGTCACTACTCGAATGTGCATACTAAAGATACAAATTGCATTATAAAGACTCTGTAATATGTACGATAAAATATTGGTAAAAATCGAAGTCATGACATTCTAGAACGATAAACATGTTTCATTCATTCGGTTACCTATTTCAATACTACATCATAACTTTTTATATTAATAAACTGCTTCTAAATTAATTAAACTTATAAACTATAAAGTTATCTCAACTAAACATAAATTTAATGCATATAACATTGTCTCCGTTTTTTAAAGTTAAGATTGAGAAATTCATGATTTTTTTTTAATTTAAATGAAGAAAAATGGTCAATGACTTTGTGGTCAAGTGACATGAAGTGACTCTTCTAAATTATGTCATTGGTTCAAGTCCCAGTAGGGACGATATTGACTCTTTGTACTTCAATGGTGACACCAGTTGCGTGGTGTGTGCGCTTCAATGCTCACGCACTAATACTCTATCTCCATGGTGCGTGAGCGTCACACACCAATTGCATGGAACGTGACACTCACGCGCCACAATTCACTCGCAGAAGTGGGGGACACTTTATTTATTTATTTTTTACTTCTACACCCAAAAACTTAATGTAGACACTTGTATTGGGACCAATATAAAAAAATAGTTTATCAAAGTAAAATTTAAAGAGTAAGATTTGAGAGTCCATGTAGTAGAATTTGTTTTTATTATTATCTGAACTCCACCTTTATACTAGGTGACATGTATTATGTATTGGGTAACAAGTTTATGGCTCTGTTTGGCAGAGTTTATTTAGGAGCTTATAGCTTATTTTAAGCTACTAATAAGTTATAAGCTCTGTTTGGTAATGTTCTCAAAATAAGCTACTAGCTTAAAATAAGAATTTATTTTGGAACGCTACCTTAAGTAGCGTTTCAAAATAAGCTCCTAGCTTCCTAACTTTTTTTCCATCTTTATCCTTATTATTTTAAATAAATAACATAATTTACCCTTCCCAATTAAAACCATTTTCTCTCCTCTGTCCGCAACTTTCACCGCAAATATTATTATTATTATTATTATTATTATTATTATTATTATTATTATTATTATTATTATTATTATTATTATTAGATTTGCAATAATATTACTACTTCATTATGAGATGCTAGATCATGATTATGTTAATAGTTTTATTTCAAAATGTTGATTTTTTTTTTTTAAAGACAAAATGTTAAATTTTAATATGTAAACAAACTAATTTAAATTTTATGAAGATATCCTTTTTAGTCTTTTTACATTTATCAGCTTATCAAAAAGTTAATTTTACCAAACACTTTCAATCATAGCAGCTAGCTTAACAGCTCTTCTGTTTTGAGCTCCGAGCTTATAGCTTTTCAATTTCCAGCTCCTTTTCAGCTTTCAGCTCCTAGCTTATAGCTTTTCAGCTAAGTTTGCCAAACAGAGCCAATGTTACATAAAACTTAAATGCTAATTCAACACAATAGGTGACGCATTGAAGATTGCACACGATGGCGTTGACTTTAGATAAGATCAAACGATGTACAATACATATGAGTTATTACTCCATCCATCTAGTTTTATTTGTTTGATTTAATTAATGAGATTTGATTAATAATTATTTTTAATTTAATTTTTCATAATGTTAAATATATTATTAGTATATAAAATTTATATATTAAAAACTATATTAAAAGTATTATAAAACACAAAAAAAATTAAATTTTAAAAATATTAAAAAAAACTAAGAAGAAATAGTTTACTAGACAAATAAATAGTAATAAGTAGGACAAATAAAATGTGACAAATGGAATAATAATTTGTGAAATAATTGTTGTCATTTTTTATTTGAGTTATTAGTTATGGATAACTAACTTAGATAAGTTTATCTCATTGTGTCATTTTCTAGTTAGGGTTACAAGACGAACTTCACATAGAGTTCACTTTCAAGTAGCGGTTGAGGATTTTCTCATAAATCAAACTGTGATATATATATAGGTAAAAAATGATGACTAATATAATCTATTAATTTAAGTAGATTAACGATTGATGGTTGTCGAAAAATAAAGGGAAAAATGATGGGATTAGTTTTTATAAAATATTATAAACTTGAAAGTTGACAATAATTAAAAAAAATTGACATCATATTTTTTTTTACTAAAATCTCTAACTATTGATGAATACTGATTAACGATTGAGATCGATAATCACTTTATATGTATAGTCAATGGATATACCTTGTGGTCAATGGATATACGATTGCTCCCCTAGGTGGGAGGCGTAGGGTTTAGATGGTATATGTGGGTATCCCTTTCTTTTATAATAATAAAAATATAAATAATGTTTTGATTGTATGGGGTTGGAAATATTATTTATGTTTGGTAGAATTTTTTTCTGAGTCGTTCATAATATAATACAAGATGCAGATGAATAATTTGTGGTGGAAGCACGCGACGTGGTAGGGGGTGGGGAGTGAGGGTTTATTGGCTCATCGCACTTATAGTATAGTATAGTAGGTATTAAAAGTTTCAACGTATTCTTTCAAAAAAAAAAAAAAAAAAAGAGTTTCAACGCATAGTCGTCAAAAGGCCAGGAGGCGTTCTAAAGACACAACAAATCCTTTTAACGGTCAAACACGTTAAAAATAAAAGAATAAAAGGTTGGTTTGTGCTTGGCTGGCTGGTTGGTCTCCACTTTCGTACCGCGCAACCAACGACACTATAACGCACCGTGAACCAATCTCTCCTGCTCGCTTTGGGAGAAGAAACATTAAAATATGAATACCAAATGTATGAATATTAATACAAATTTTTATTGTGAATTTTTTTTTTCAGTTCTGAATTGTAACAAGAACTGTCCATACTGCTTCAGTTTGATTGTTATTGAGTCTAGTTCTGTTCAAATCGAACCATGGTCATCCCTACATATAAGTAATAATTTGTTAGAGAATAAAAATAAATGAAATAATTATTTTAAGAGTAAAAATGTCTATTTAACATCAATGAGGGGAAAAATGTCACTTTAAAAATAATTGAGTGGGCAAATGTGAATATATGAATAATTAAGGAGAAAAAAGTGCTATAAACCTATAATTCAGAGATAAAAAGTAGCATTTTCTCTTGATTTAATTAATATTTTGTGGTGCGAAATTATGAATTAAAATTTTTTAGTTGAATTTGACTAAAATATTAAAATAAATCGATTTTTACCGGAAAAAATTAATTCAGTTTAAAATATTTTATAAATTTGATATCAAATTTACCAAATCAACGGCAAACGCAAAAATTGTGGCATGCAGTCTTGTGGGCGCCTTTAATTTGTGACTAGAGAATGGGTCACATTTTCTCTTCTGAAACATATTATTGTTCGTATTCGCCGACTTCCCCATTGCTACGCCACTTGCATAGAGTCCAAGATTCCATTATATTCCTCAAAAATATCCTAAAGGCATATGTCGCATGTCTACATACAAATGAATTTCCATTTCCATAATCCTTAATAATAAATGACAGCTTTTGTAATTAATTATATATAATCGTATATCCTCATTGTCGGTTGACGTCGCTTTTTTTTTTTTTTTTTTCTTTAATATAATTTTGTATTGCTGTATTTTTTGTTTTAGTACTATCATTCAATGTTTCAATTCCTAACGTATCCCAACAAATATGTAATATATCAAATATTATATTATATTATAAGGTTTGTTTGATATTAAAACTAGTAACTATGTGAGAACATGCATGCATACCAATTTTATATGTACATCTATGATGATTAAAGACATAAAATTTAAGAAAAAAATAGAAAAAATGTGATAGTAATTTCGTGCGCCCGTACATGAATCAGGCTATATGCAGAGTAGGGTTCCAGTGAGAACATGTGCTTAGGTGAGAACATGAGAACACATCATGTGCATCCATCTAATATTTTTAATAGTATAGATTAGATTAAGTGTGTGCGAACGCGCATTAAATGTGTGCAAACGCACTTAATCGTGTTTGCACACATTTAATGCGTGTTCGCACACACTTAATATAATATAGACTATCAAAAAATATTAGATAGATGCACTCATGCACACGATTTGTTCTCACGTTCTCACCTAAGTAAGTGTTCTCATATGATCTTATATATATATATATATATATATATATATATATATATATATATATATATAGACACACGCTTATCAACTTTTTTTCCCCTAATGTTGTGGTTACTATTAAATAGTTAAACTAACTTTATTTTATTTATTTTATCTATTTTTTTAATGTTTAGATGGGGGGTGTAGGTGCACCTCTAATTGTACGTGAACTATTATTTGTTGAGGCCTTGAGAAAATTCAACAATCAAGAGTAAGTTATAAGTAGGTTAGTGGGTAAGAAATAGAGAATCTTTTATATTATTTATAATTTTATTAGAACAAATTTTTTTAATGAGAATTTAAGGGTCGTTTACTAATCGGAGAGTTTTTCTGATTTTTTAGAAAATTAGAGAATTGGAGTTTTCTAGAAAATTGGAGAATAGAGAACAAAAAATATGTTTATTAGCACAATTCTCATTTCGAAAACAAAAAATATTTTTGAGTTTTCTAGAAAACTGAAAAACATTTTAAAACTTTTTTCTAAATGAAAAATAGAATCATCCATCTTCTATTTGACTATGTCACTATAACCACATTTTCACCATTATCAATAGTTATGATGTGCAACCGTGTGCACCATGCATGGTGCACACGGTTGCAAAACGACGTCGTTTTGACTAAAATGCGCGTCCCATTTTTTTAAAAAATATCAATTTCGATTCCCCTCAATAGCATTATGTTGTTCATTCATTGTGAATTTTTAGTTCATTCATTGTGGATATTTAGTTCATTCATATTGGATATTTAGTTCATTCATTATGGATTTTGTGTTATTCATTCACCGTGGATATATAGTTATGAATTTGTGGATATATAATTGAAATTATACAAAAAAAAATGATATTGCCGGGAATCGAACCTGATTTTTTTTTTTAAAAGTGGACACGCGTTTTTAGTCCAAACAACATCGTTTTTACAACCGTGCACACAGTTGCACAGCATAATTTGTGCACCATTATCTACTTACATATTTATTCATTACTATGATTACATTCATTATCAACATCTTCTATCTTTTCTACTTGCTTTACTTATTTAAACATAACTTATTTAGACATTATACACATTATCAAAATAAAAAATTGAACTCTATATCAAGTTTTAGATTTTTATTGAACTCAATAGAATATTAATTCGGATATTTTTAGTTATGTTATATTGTAATACAAATTCGGTCCCGGATATCGAATATTGAAAATTTCACATATCCTAGAATTCCAAGTGAAAATTATATATTTATATACATGTCATTCAAATGAATATATCGAAAAATATTTTAAATATTAGCAAAAAAAATTTTAATCTAAAATTTAGGTCAACATAATACTTAATAGGTTATTGGTTCATATATATATATATATATATATATATATATATATATATATATTTATTTATTTATTTATTTATTTATTTATGTTATATAGAAATATAAATTTGGTTCAAATATCAAATGTAAAAATCTTACATATATTAGATTTACATGTAAAAAAATATTTATTCAATTTAAACCAAACATATCTAAAAATATTTTAAATATAATATTTAAAAATTACTCGAAATTAAACTTATGTTAATTTTATAATGTTAATCTAAAAAAATAAATTTGAAAAAATAAGTGTTAGTAAACGAGTTTTCTAAACATAAAACAGAGAATGAAAAACAAAAAATGAAAAATAAAAAATTAGAAAACAGATAACATATAACAGTTTTCGTTAGTAAACGGGCTCTAATTATTTCTCATTATTTTTCATACAAGTTAATTAATTATATATGACTACTATACATTTAATTTATTTGTTAACGTTTTATGTATAAACTAGTATTTTATATGCGTGATACACAAAAATATATGCTCAATATTAATACTTATGTTAAAATTTTAATTATATTTAATTTTTTTTAAAAAAATAATAGTATATACGTTTTTTTTTAAAAAAAAAATTCATAGTTGTAAGCAGACAACTGATGAAATGGATGGTAACCTGCTATCAAGTGAAATTGTATACATTTGAGGTGTTCAGTGGTCTAATTGCATTTTTTTTTTCGTTCAGTGGCGTAATTGTACTTTCAGGTTACGTTCAGTGCCCAATTTGGACCTTATTCCATACAAAAACTTAACAAAAAAATGGATATAAATCAACGTATAACCTGTATTGAGACTTATTATGTTTTTAGATATGAGATATTTTGGAGTACCGTTTGTTTAGTAGATTTTTTAATAAAGTTTTAAAGATATTTTATTTTCATTAATAGTGAATTAAATTAAAACTCTTCTTAATAGTAATTTCAGAGATAAGACCTTGTAGTCTAATGGTACCAAGGTTGCATTATCATATGGAAGGTTGTGGGTTTGAACCTCAATGGAAGAAGTTTTTGGTGATTGTTTATAGAACAAGCCGAAGTTAAACAACAATGATCTCAAACACCACTCTCACCCTATTTTGGAAACCTAATGACTTAGTCTAAAATATGTTAAATACATGATTGAACTTAATTATATTATTGTCAACCCTATCTTAGTTTAGCTTGTCACACATGATATTTCTAATGCAATTACATTTCTTGTGTACTTTATGAGCTATTATATAGAAACAAAGTCTAACCAATGCATATTTTCAAATGGGGTTACAAGTTTCTCCTGTCAAAAGAAAAATAAAAAGAAGAGTGAATAAAAATTCATAGTTTTCAAAAATAAAAATAAAATCATAGCTAATCTCATAGATACATATAGCCAATGACCTTAGCTTGTGGTCTAGTGGTATGTGATGACTCTTTCAATTGAGAGGTATGGGTTTGATCCCCAATGAATGTGATATTGACTCTTTTGTGCTTCAGTAAATTTAGAAAGTAATTATGAACGAATACTATATTGTAACAGAGTTATTAGTAGTACTCAAATATATATATATATATATATATATATATATATATATATATACGAAAAATCAAATGTACAAATAGGTAAATTGACAGAAATATCCTCATATTCATTCAAAAGTTCACATTCATAATGTAATAAAAAATGATTGCCAAAATGCCAACGCATGATACAATGGAAGCCAAAACTTTACAGTTCATGACTATAATCTGTATTATTAAATCATCATTAACAATTAAAAAAAAAATTGAAAAAAAGAGAATTAAAAATAATCGAAACTTGGACCGCCGTCGCCGGTGACGTATTCAGTGACGGTGGAACTGAATTTAATTGGAGATTTTAATTATTATTCTTCTTTTAAATTCCCTTTTTAATTTTAATTGGTTATTATATACTCCGGTCTCGGTAAATAGTGTACATTTAGGTGGAAAGACGCCTGACTAAGAAAGAGTCTGAAGTCATATTATATGTGTGGACTTCTCCAGTCAATTTTGTTACTTAGTCTTCCATTGGTATATTACTAATTTTGACTGATGACTTTTTGCGTGTTTGAGCAATTCCTCGCTCTTTTCTACGGCTTCCCGACTGTGATTTTTTTTTTTTTTTTTGATACATTATGTACCTACTTTTAACTTTTTTTTTTTTAATTTTATTTTAATGTTACTGGTCCTATTACATTGTAGTATCTGTTCGTATACTTTCTCAACCTACTGAAACACAAAGAACCAATAACGCCTCCACTAAGGCTCGCTCGAACTCGTAACCTTTCAAATGGAAGTCCAACCCGGGTACCATTAGACCACATAGTCTTGGTTACCTATTTTTAACTTAAGTTTACATATTAGCCCAAAAAGGATGATTAAGTTTTTTTTTTTCTTAAAAGATGATTAAGTTTTTTTTTTTTCTTAAAAAATAATTTTTTTTTTTTTTTTTTTGGATTTTTGTGTGTGTAATCTAAGGTTTCTATCGTTGGATACAATGATTAATCCATTCGCTTAAATGTAAGCGCTTCTAAGAGTGGGACAACTGTCATGGAGAGGCTACTCCCAGGAACGGAGCCAGGATTATATGATGCGGGGGCCAATCATGATTTAAGAGTGAACAATTACATACATTAATATTTATTTAATATATACCAAAATAGATCATTATATTACAAATGTACTAAAATTTAGAATGTCTCTCTTGCATATCACGAAAATCATTTATAATTGAAAAAAGTATCAATTCTTTGAGATTTTTCAGGACAACTTTCAGAATTCAATTGATCAACACTTGTAGATGGATTTACTTGAGATGATGAATCTTCAGAATTATTTCTTTTAAAAAAAGTATTAATTCTTTGTGTCTTTTTTCATTATAGCTCAATCTTCATACTTTCACAATTAATCACAATGTTACTATTTTGGTAAGTCAATTAAACATTTAAACTAACCAAGTCAATTAACATTTAAACATATAATTCTACAAGACCCACACACAGACGCACTACCACTCCTACAAAGTACAAATTAGTATAGTATTATTCATTCAAATCATCAAATGAGTAATGCCATAAAACAAATGAGGACAAAGCACATAAAGACTAGTGGGATACAAATATACAATATTTAAATTCATTTTTGTTTTAAATTCATTAATGTAGTATTATTCATTCAATTCATTTATTTAAATTATGTCTTCCGATCCACAACAGTTTCTCTTTCTTTCTTCTCACTTCTTCTGTTTTAGGTTTTCGTATTTTTTTTTGCCAACCAAATTAAATTCATTTTTGTTGTTTGGAATTATTCTATTGTATGAGTATAGACTAAGACACTGAGCTATTTAATCTGAATTCTATGTGTGTTTCTTAATCTCTGCTACTCTGCTAGTTTGATGTTAGTCATTAATGGAAGAAAACTAAAAGCATAAACTTAAAGACAAGAAACTTTGAACATTGGAGTTAATAATAAATGCACTCTCCCACAAAAATATATAATAATACAAATTTACAAAGTAATTATTTAAAACTTCAAAAAATGAAAAAAAAATCCATATTAATTGTTGAAGAGAAGAAGAATAGATGATTGAAGCAGATGAAAACCAAGAGTGAGAAACCTAAAAGCTTGTTCTGAAAGCTAAATAGTAGAAGACATAACATTTGTTGGGGGTTTCAAAAGAAAAAAAATATTTGTTTTGGGAGGCTCACTGGTACTACTGTACTAGGCTACTACTAAGCTAGGCTAAGTCGATAGTACTTTTTTTTTTTTTTTTTTTTTTTTTTTTTTGGGTGATATAGTTAATGTTTTGATTTGAGTGTCATACTACTAAATATATTTATATTTTAGTACATTTGATGAGATTATGATATGAGATTTTAACTCAAATTTATAAGTTGGAGAAAAGTATAATTTACCATCATACTAAACATTGAAATTCAATTATAATTTTATAAGGACATTTGTAATTATAGCATCTCCATCAATTATTCATTGCTAGTTGTTTTTGTTTCTAACTTTTGTTGTTATAATATACACGCTTAATTTATCAAAAAAAATATATTATAATTTTAATTTTTAGAGCAACAAAACTATTAAATTACATTAGTGTTTTACTTAGTAAGTTAGCCGTTAGCACATAAATATTTTAGTAATTTATTATCTTTCTTCTTTATAATCTATTTGATTTGATTTCGACTTTGCATATTGATGAATTTATTTAACCCGGGGTGGACGCGAATCAATAAATCCGGATAAGAACGCAATACAAATAATAAATAAATAATATAGAACGATGTCGTAAAAGGCCGTGAGACCGTATATTATATTAAACGCCGTAGGAATTGGCTATTACAAAGATTTGGTATGACAAAGTGTGAGGTGGGGGGTTTTTATATGCTACAAATCCCCCAACCGCTCCCCCTATAAAGGGGGGCGGTTAGATCGCCCTTTGACCGGGGACCCGGGTGGACAGGGTCGGGTCGGGTCCCGAGCTCGGGTGGTGCCGAGCTCCCCTACCCGAGCTCGCTATGGGCCGAGCTCGGGTAGGGTCGTGCCACCCGACCCGAGCCCCACGTAACTCGGCTCGGGTCGGGGCACCTCCATGGTGCCGTGGGCTGGGTGCTTTTGGGCTCCAACGTGGTGCTCCGGGTCCGTGTTGCTTTTGGGCTCCAACGTGGTGCTCCGAATTCGTGTTGCTACCCCGGGTCGGATCGTAGGTATAATCCGTCATGAGTCCCCCACTCTCTTCGTTGCGAGGGGAAGTCAACGAATGAGAGTAGATATCCTGACCCGACCTCCATGCGCGAATGTAGCCGAGCTCACCATGGCCGAGGTGCCTTGTGCTGAGGCGTCTTGAGCCGGGGTGTCTTATGCCGAGGCGTCTTGGGCCGAGGTGTCCTGAGTTGAGGTGCCTGGTGCCGAGGTGCCTTGGGCCGAGGTGTCCTGAACCGAGGTGCCTTGGGTCAAGGTGAGACGTCTTGGGCCGCTCCACCTCCTTGCTCCGCTCCCCCCGGGTCGGTTTGCTCCGCGCCTTCCTCACGCACGTGGCCCAAGCTCAAACTTGCCGACCTTGTTCTCCCTTGGTGATGTACTAGACTTGTCATTTTGAATGGACCATCGGCCTCCTTTATTTTGTTTTGGTGATGTGATGGTTGCCACCATTTACCTGTTATTATCTCACTTTTACTTAGTTGTTGTGTTTTTTTTTTTTTAATGAGCCCCCGGCTAGTGCCGAGGTGCTTCGCCTCGGGTCGTGCCGAGGTGTGAGACCTCGGCACCGGTCGAGGTCCCTCGCCTCGGCGCGCTTTCGAGGTGTCTCCACGAGGCACCTCGGCAGCGTGCCGAGGTGCGAAACGAGTGGACCTCGGCTATGCGCCGAGGTCCACCTTGATGCACCTCGGCATACTGCCGAGGTGGTACCGTGGTGCACCTCGGCAATGTGTCGAGGTGCACCCCGGTGTTGTGCCGAGGTGCGCTAGTCCCTTTTTTTTTTTTTTTTTTGGCCTTGCGTTAGCCTCCTTAACATAGTTCCATGAGACTACGCCACCGGGCTCTCCCGTCGGGGTTGGTACGCGAGGTCGGACCCCGTGTCCCTTAGGATACGTCAACCGCTCGAGCTAAGTCCTTCCTGACTGCGCCATTGGGCTCTTCCGTCGGGGTTGGTACGCGAGGTTGGACCTTGTGTCCCCTTAGGGTGCGCTTAATCACTCGAGCTAAGTCCTGTTGGACTAAGCCACGGGCTCCTCCGTCGGGGTTGGTATGCGAGGTCAGACCTCGTGCCCCCCTTAGGGTGCGCGCTAGCCGCTCGGGCCGAGTCCTTCCGGACTATGCCACCGGGCTCTTCCGTTGGGGTTGGTACGCGAGGTCGGGCCTCGTGCTCCCTTAGGGTGCGTCCTCCGTCGGGGTTGGTACGCGAGGTTGGACCTCATGCCCCCTTAGGGTCCGCGGGGGGAAACCCGGTGAGCACTAGTTCCCCCTCATTTTACGTGGGTTTTTTTTTTTTTTTTTTTTTTTTTTTGGGAGAAAAGTAAACGAAAACCATCTTCGTAACAAGGGTCCTCCTTATAAAAAATTTCGTAACATGAAATTTTATTCCGCTTATTGCCGTCCACTAAGACATTATTGGGGGAGGGGAAAAACCAAGTTCTGCCTCGGCCTGCAGATCGAGCATCTTCCAAATGGAATTTTCATTCACCAAGCCAACTACATTAATAAATTATTAGAGAAATTCTATATGGATAAATCTCATCCCCTTAGCACCCCAATGGTGGTCCGGTCCCTTGAAGCGGAAAATGACTCATTGAGACCTAAGGAGGATAATGAGGAGGTTCTAGGACCTGAAGTTCCTTACCTAAGTGCTATTGGAGCCTTACTTTACCTAGCTAATTGCACAAGGCCTGATATTGCATTTTCAGTGAATTTACTTGCTAGATTTAGTGCCTCTCCAACCAAAAGACATTGGAGTGGAATAAAGCATATCTTTAGATATCTCCAAGGGACAAAAGACCTTGGTCTTTATTTTGAAAACAACCAGGACATTACTTTGACAGGATATTCAGACGCTGGTCATATGTCTAACCCCCATACTGCTAAATCGCAAATTGGTTATGTTTTTCTTTGTGGAGGTACAACTATATCTTGGAGGTCCATTAAACAGACCTTAGTTACTACCTCATATAATCACTCAGAGATAATTGCTTTATATGAAACCGTAGGCGAATGCGTATGGTTGAGATCACTGATACAACATATCCATCGCTCATGCGGAACAATGAGCAATGTTGATTCCCCGACAGTCCTATATGAGGACAATGCAACATGTGTTGCACAAATGAGTAATGGGTACGTTAAAGGAGGCCTTACTAAACATATTGCTCCTAAATTCTTTTACCCACATGAACTCCAGAAGAGTGGTGAGATACTCATTGAAAAGGTTCGCTCTAGTGAAAATCTGGCAGATTTGTTCACTAAATCCTTGCATACATCCACTTTTGAGAAGCACGTTTATAAAATTGGGATGCGAAGGCTAGGAAGACTGTTGTCTTCAGGGGAGCGATAAACTCTAAAGTTTAAATATGAAAGATGATGCCCTGGAGGCTTACGATTGTACTCTTTTTCCCTTAGCTAAGTTTTTCTCCCACTGGGTTTTCTTAGGCTAAGGTTTTTAACGAGGCAGCCGATGCAACACATATACTACATGTACTCTTTTTCTCGACTACGTTTTTCCCACAAGGTTTTTCTAGCGAGGTTTTTAACGGGGCATGAGTATAGTCATTTAATGGCCAAGGGGCAGTGTTATAATTATTATACTTATGGCCATTAAGTTACTAAGACTCTTCATATGTTTTCATTGAATGTATTGTTCATGATTGTGTAGTTGAAGAGTTGTATGAACCACTATATAAAGTGAGTGAAGGTGAATGAAAGGGACACACTTACATGATTGTTATACTCAGTGGCGGACCCGGAAATTTTTTTGAGTGGGGGCAAAACATTATAGTGTGAAAAATAATGAAACACTTAAGAAATATAGTCATAAATATTGTTGGATATAAACGAAAAATAAAATATATTAAAATTTTATAAAAATATTCATAACAAAATATGAAACATAATTAATTTGATAAAATAATTCAAATAAAAAACACATATAAATTACACATCTCATTATTAATATATATATATATATATATATATATATATATATATATATATATATATATATATATATATGCTCTAAAGAAGCTCAGTTGAAAGCCAAACAGAATAAAAGCTATAAAGAAGCACAGTTGAAAGCCAAAGCCAAACACAGAAGAAATTAAAGAAGCAGTTAAAAAACTAATTATATTAAGAGACAAGGGGTTCAAACCAGTGACATTTCCTAACGTAAAACACAACACTACCAGCTCAACCAACTCACCTATTGTTTATTTCTATTAGTTTTCTTATATTTATATGTAAAACATGTACTATATATATATATATATATATATATATATACATACAAAGGCTATATATAGGGTGGGAGTGGGGTGAGTGGGGGCAACTGCCCCCACACTAGGTCCGCCACTGGTTATACTATAGCTTTGTGTTCTTCTTCTCCTCCATTCCCCCCCTCTATACGCGTACAAACACACATACATATATATACGCAATTCCGAGTGTATAACCGTGCAACGTGCAAGCATCACGCGAGTACTAACGAGTGGATAAGACAAAACTTAACAAAGTTTACTTTGTTTCTCTATTTTTGTTATCCTACTCAAATCTTTTAATAATTATAAAACTTATTAACCTTTTCTTCCCATACTTTAATTTTAAACAATAGAATTGAAAATAAGGAAGAAAAAAAATTTAAAAAATAAAAAATCAATGTTCATCCATTAAATATGAAACTTTAATATATATATATATATATATATATATATATATGTATGTATGTATGTATGTGTAAATATTTATACTTAAAGGTATAATCATTACCAAGTATTTGATTCTCATTATTATTCTGATTTCAATGTTTGAACCAAATACACCCTAAATTTAATAATAAATAGTATTTTTAAAAGGATAAAATCAATTCATTAAATCATCTGTCAAAATATCCACAGTGAACAAATTCACCGGTAATAATTGGTACATAGGATTCTGGCTACAGATAAACAAGCATAAGTTCTAGTGGTCGAGACACTAATTATTAGTGAATAACCAACTATTAGGCTCATATGCACAATCAATCAAAAAAAAAAAAAAAAAAAGGCTCATATGCACAAATATGAAAAATGATGTGTTTAATTGTAACTTTTTAAAATTCAGAAGTTTAATTAATTTTTCGTATAAAGTTTAAGGGCATATTTAACTATTTTTCTAACTATTATAAAATTTTATTCATAAATTTATTTTAATATAAATAAATATTATTATTATCATCATTAAAATAATTAACATTTTTAAGAAATAAATTTATAATAGATTTTTGTTATTTTTAAAAGATACAATTTTTAGCCAAACAGGAAAAAACATTTTACTGAGCTTCAACCAAATACTGTAAATAAAAATGTATTATGAAAATAGCTCATTTTCTTAACATGATTTCCATTTTCCACTTTTATTTATTTATTTTTTTTTGAATGCTACTAGCTCTATTACATTGTAGTATCTGTTCATATACTTTCTCAACCTATTGAAACACAAAGAGCTAATAACACCTCCACTGAGGCTCGAACTCACAACCTTCCAAGTGGAAGTCCAACCCGGATACCATTGGACCACATAATCCTGGTTTATTTATTTATTTATTTATTTATTTTTAATTATTTTCAAAATGACCCTTAATCGAAGTTCTCATGCCAACCCAACAATCTGAGTAGTAGGATGTTCACTTTCCAAATAATTAACTAAATGTTAAATAAGAATTAGCTTGTGGGTTATAAATATTTCGGGTATACTTCTCAAATTATTAAGGATGTGTTTGATTTGCAGATGGGAATCAGAATTAGAATGAGAATTAAATACTTGGTAATAGTAATGTATTTTGGTGAAAGTATTTTGCATGTTTAGTAGTAGGGTATGGTGGAATTGGAAGGATTATCAATATTGATGTTTGGTTATACATGACCCTATGATGGGAATAAAAATTTTAAAATACAAAATACAAAAAATCAAGACAACCGATCCTAATATAATAATATCCAAAACACCAATATAAACAAAAAAAATCAAACAAAAATCTAAAAATAATAATCCAAACTGAAAAATCAGATTACCAATAAGATGAAATGATAATAGTCGTTTTTAATTAGGGAATGAGATTTTTATTTGAAGGGTAATCAAATCACATAATTGTGTTCTAAAAGGTTGTTAACCAAATACTATGATTTTAATTATCATCGCTTGTGTGTAAACCAATGAACCAAACGCACCATAAATGATAAATAAGAATTAGCTTGTGAGTTATAAATATTCTGTTAAATGTTTAATGGACATGAATTTAGGGTGTGTTTGGTTCGCACATAGGAATCGGAATCGGAATGAGTATCAAATACTTGGTAATGGTAATGGGTTTTGGTGAAAGTATTTAACATGTTTGGTAGTATGGTGGAATGTGAATGGTTACTAATAGTAGTGCTTGAGAATGAATAAGGGAATGAAACTCTTATTTTATTTGGGTATGGATTTTTCAATTGATGGGATATTCGAAACCCATAGTACTGTTCTAAAAACCTATCAACCAAACAACAACAATCACTTTCATACCAATTCCTATGTGCAAAATCCACCAACCAAACACACCCTTAGTTACTTTGTAGTAAGACAGAAAAATAATTAATTACATGTTAAATATAAATCATGAGTAATAAAGAGTTAAAATAATCCTTCAAAAAAAAATAAAGAGTTAAAATAAACTGTTTTTTTAAATATATTTTTTGAAATGCATAAATGAATCATTTAGCATAAAGTGGTTCGTTTGTTTATAATGAAATGGCTGTAATGGAAAAGCGTGTAAGCGACCCTAGTATAAAATAAATGTTGAGAGTGGGATTTGAACCCACGCCCTTCCGGACCAGAACCTTAATCTGGCGCCTTAGACCAACTCGGCCATCTCAACTTATTCTTCCTTAAGTTTCACAAACTCTACTAATACGTAAAATTTGATATGCCATCTATTACTAGTTATGTGCTGATAACTCGATATTCCATCTGCAACCAGTTTGGTTTCAAAAGAAGACAGAAGAATATTTTTTTGGGAGACTTAGATGCACTCAAAGAGATTCCATTGTTCACTGAATGAATTCAATGTGGATATGTAGGTATGGAATAAAAATTGCGGAAAATATATTGCCCAGGCAAGAAAGGTTAGTCATTTATATATGTATGTATAGTTGGTATGAAAAATAATTACCCAATTAATTCTAAGTGGCGATTTCTGTATTGGCGAAAATTTTTATATACTCCGTATTTGTAAAGTAGGGAACATGAGAGTAGTGATATCAAAAAGTTGTAACCATTATTATATATATTTGGTAGTTTAAGGGGTTTGAGTGGGTGGATCATCTTATATACGATTGGAAAAAGAAAATTGAAAAATTGATAGAAAGGGCTCCAACACCCAACGTCAACTTTTACTTCTCTTATGTACAATCATTTTATATATATCTTTAATTTGATTATAATTATCGACTCAAAAAATCTCAATTTATATGAATTTGTTAATTCTTTTTTTTGAAAGTATGAATTTGTTAATTCAAAGCAATAAAATCTTAATTTCCAATTTTAGTACTATTATAGTACATTAAAACTCCAACGAGGCACATAGAAAGTTCAAATGGTGCGCCAACAAACATATATACGTGTGTGGACACACATACATAGAACAAAATAAATTGAATATTAAGGGTTAACTCTGATCCAACCAAGCTAGCTAAAGATACAAACTTGTAATTATAAGATCATGAGTTTGAATTTTTATTATTATTATTATTATTATTATTATTATTATTATTATTATTATTATTATTATTATTATTATTATTATTTTTGGTTTGAACTGGTCAACTATAGACAACCTAGATTGATTTAATTACCTCCTTGTGGTTCTTAATTTGTTGATTAACGTCACAAGGCGGGTTTATCCATGCACACCCTCGGGGTATACTATAAAGGTGGTGCGTGTAGCCACTCACCACAACCTGACTCAGAAATGGAAAATTATATCGTGCACTAGGGCGCACAATGCATTATGCGCCTTGGCACAAAATGACGTCGTTTTGTATTATTATTATTATTTTTTTGGAAATTCTGTTTCCCGTTTCCGCCGTTAACTTCAAAGAAAAAAATCCATGTTTCGTTGTACAGAATTGTATAGCAAAATACACATAAACTCATAACATAATACACATAATCTAACATAATACATAAAATCTAACATAATACATAATACACATAAACACAAATGATAAAAAAAAAAAAAAAACAGTAACGGACAGAACAGTGTCCGTCGCGTTAATTTTCCACCAACTTATAAAATAATGTCGTTTTGCGTCAAAATGTACAATGCAATATGTGTCCTGATACACAATATTATAATTGCTCAGAGATAACTCATGATCTAGCAATAGTATGGACAACACGATTGAATGAAATTGGAAATTAATAAGTAAAATATTGAAATTAGTAAAGTTTGGACAATTAATTTGGAAATAGTATAAATATGTCGAGAAAGGTAGAATGCGATGGATCGGCGGAGAGAGAGTGCCACTGTGGCGATCGGATTCGTGTCAAAAACATCAAAACGTGTCAGCCTGCGAACTCCTTACGTGCACTTCACGACCATTCCATCGAATCCGCGTCATCTTGCCAGGTGTCATCCCCTCCCTCCCGTTCCCAAGCCTATAAATTGCTCTCCTTCTGTCGTCCCCAGAAACCATAATCATACTACGTACGTTAATACGACATTGAAACAGCGTTGAAAATCATCATATCGTTTGACGACATTAGAAGACTGCAATTAACTAAGAATGGCTTCGCAGCAACAGAACAGAGCTGAGCTTGACAGGAAGGCCAGGGAAGGGCAGACCGTCGTCCCCGGTGGCACCGGCGGCAAGAGCCTTGAAGCGCAGGAGCACCTTGCTGAAGGTCTCTAATTGTTTCCTCTGTCTCATTTGATCTCTCCTACTTATTATTTATTAGTTAAAACAATTCTTTCTTTTTTTTTTTATTTTTTTAATATTTTTTTATTTATTTTTAAATTTGATTTATTGTGTTTAATACTATTTTTAACATAGTTTCTAAATATATAAATTTTGAATATTAATATTAAATTTAATATTATAATAATTTAATATTATGAAAAATTAGATTAAAAATAACTCCCGTAAATCTCAATAACCGAAGTCCAATAACCGAACTAAATATATAAAATGGGACAAAAAATTAGATTAAAAATAACTCCTGTAAGTCTCATTAATCGAACCAAACATATAAAATGGGACCGAAGGAATAACATTTACCGTTTAGTTTGGTTTATTTTATTTTATTTTCAGCTTAAACTATACTCCTTGTATCAATTTATATTTTTTCAAACATTTTCAGCTTAAACTATACTCCTTTTTGTCTTATTTTAAATGTTTTACTTTCCTATGTTATTTTTTTAAAATTAAAAATAACTATCATTTTACATTACTTAATTATTTTTTCAAAAAATTAAAATTAAACAGGAAGGCAGAAAGGAGGGCAGACACGGAAAGAGCAGCTGGGAACGGAAGGGTATCAGCAGATGGGACGTAAGGGCGGGCTGAGCACTGGAGACGAGTCCGGCGGGGAACGCGCAGAGCGTGAAGGCATTGAGATCGACGAGTCCAAGTTCCGAAACACCAGCTAGATCAGATCTAAAATCAACAAACCAACCACGCAGAATCATATCATTACCTAGCTAGCTAGGATATGATCGATGATGTTCTTTACTTTTGTTTCTGCTAATGTAATAATGATAGTAATAATCGTGGATCATGCACGGGAACCATGTTGAGCGTGATCGATAATGATGTTGTAGTTCTTAGTTTAGTTAGGGTTTAGTGGTCATATATATATGCGTGTTACCTTGTAACATGCATATATAAGTTGTTAGCTCAATTTCTAGCCTATACCTATGTAGTGTCTAGGGGTTTATATGTGTAATCCCTATGTCTGGTCTTTTATATATGTGAAAATTTTAGGCTCTTCATATTCAATGGGTCTTGGGTTTTCTTATACATTTTTATTTTTTATTATTTATTTATTTATTTCAAGAGTATGCATGTGAGACCATTGTGCACTCAAATTTACACGGGTTCAATTGGTGTTAGAGCATCTTTATATATAATATACCATTTAAACTATATAATAATTTTTAAAAGGTTAGAATGTGGCGAATTAGTGCTTGCTTAGAGAAAGACAGAAAAAGGAAGAGAAGGTAAGGAGAAAAAGGAACTGTTTCATTCATTCAAGAAGGAGAAAAACTGTTTTAACTAACTCTAACAGAAAGGAGGCTAACTACTTAACTAACTCTAACAGAAAAGAGCAGACTTTGTTAGCTAGTTGCATCTCCTAATAGCCTCCCGCAAGCTGGATTGTATAGATTGAACAATCCAAGCTTGGAAATGTAGTTGTTGAAAGAACTTGGCAGTGCATCTTAGTGAATATATCTGCTAGTTGGTTTGTAGAAGACACATGGAAGAGCTTGATTATTCCTTTGTGTAGCTTTTCTCTAACTAGATGACAGTCCAATTCAATATGCTTTGTACGCTCATGAAAAACAGGGTTCTCAGCAATGGCTATGACTGACTTGTTGTCACAATAGAGAGCTGCTGGACCAGTTTTGTGTACTCCAAACTCATTGAGCAAATAAAATAACCACTGGACTTCACAGGTGGTAGCTGCTAATGCCCTGTATTCAGCTTTTGAGGAGGATTTCAAAACTGTCACCTGCTTCTTTGATTTCCAAGACACTAAGGCTTCTCCTAGGAAAATGCAGAAGCCAGTGATGGATCTCCTAGTGTCCACACAAGCCTCCCAATCTGAATCAGAGAAGGCTTTTAATTGAAGGTTATAATGAGCTGGGAAGAAGAGACCCTGGCCAGGGGCAGCTTTGATGTATCTCAAGACCCTGTGAGCTGCTTGGAGGTGTAGATCAGTGAGTGCATCTAGGAACTATGAAAGCTGTTGTGTAGCAAAGCTTATATCAGGTCTGGTGATGTTTAGATGTAGAAGCTTTCCCACTAGTTTTCTGTATTGAGTGTCGTCCTTAAGTAGATTTCCTGCACCTTTACTTAGCTTGTGAGATGGAGAAGTAGGGCTATGTATAGGTTTGGCATCTGTAAAACCTGCATCTTTTAGTAGTTCAAGAGCATATTTCCTTTGGGAAACTGCAATCCCTTTCTTTTGTCTTGCCACTTCCAATCCTAGGAAAAATTTTAGTGGCCCTAGATCTTTGATCTGAAATTTTGAATCGAGCTGTGTCTTGATCTGCTGAACCAAACTCAAGTCACTGATGCCAACAATTATGTCATCTACATAAACAAGTAGAGCAACAAAGGAACTTCCTTCACCTTTAACAAACAAGGAATTATCAGGTAAAGACTGTTTGAAACCTATACTTTGTAGAGCCAGGCTTAACTTGCTGTTCCACTGTCTGCTAGCTTGCTTTAATCCATATAAGGATTTATTCAGTTTACATACTTGACCATCTCCCTTATTTTCAAAGCCAAGTGAGAGTTGCATATATACCTCTTCATCTAGGTCTCCATGGAGGAAGGCATTATTGATATCCATTTGATGGAGATGCCAGTCTTTGGCTGCTGCTATGGCCAAGAAAGTTCTAACTGTAGTCATCTTTGCCACATGACTAAAAGTGTCCATGTAGTCAATCCCAAGTGTTTGAGTGTAGCCTTTAGCTACTAATCTAGCCTTATACCTTTCAATAGTGCCATCTTGTTTGTGTTTGATCTTGTACACCCATTTGCAGCCTATAGGTTTCTTTGAAGGTGGTAACTTCATTAGCTGCCAAGTATTGTTGTTTTCTAGAGCAGTTATCTCTTCTTCCATGGCTTTTCTCCAGCATTCATGTTGGACTGCCTCTCTATAATTCTTGGGCTCAGTGTGAAGGGTGATGTTCATAACAAAGGACTGAAAGGTAGGTGAGAGCTTGTCATAGCTTAGAACTTTGGCCAGGTTATGAGGGGAGGATCTTACTGTGGAATTGTGGCAGATGTAGTCATTCAGGTAGGAAGGAGTTTGTTTTTGTCTAGTTGACTTTCTGGCTTCTGGTTGTTGTGTCAACCTAGGTGTAGGGTTGTGTGGCTCAGGTAGTATATCAGGCACTGTATCAATTATATCATCAGTCACTGCATCAATTACTTCATCAACCACTGCATCAATTACTTCATTAGGCAGTGAATTAGGTAATGGTTCAACCACTTCATCAGGCTGTGTGTTAGACAATGAATCAAGAGAATGGCTAGGAACAGATCTGTGAGGCTGGGGACTCACTAAGGCTTCTTATGAGACACCATCTATGACAGGAAAAATGACCTGAGAGGACTCCTTTTCTGCCACATTGGTGTGCTGAATTGGGAAAACATGTTCATGAAATAATACATCTCTTGATATAAACACCTCCTTGGTCTGTAAATCATATAGTTTGTAGCCTTTAATACCATTTGCATATCCAAGAAATATGCACTTTTTGGCCCTTGGATCAAACTTGGACTTGGGACCAACTGTTGTGGCAAATGCTAGGCAGCCAAAGACCCTTAATTAAGTGTTGATACTGAGGCCTCTTGTGAATCAAAACTTGGTATGGAACTTGATGATTAATGGCAGCAGAGGGTAATCTGTTGATGATGTAAGCTGCATGCATTATGTATTCTCCCCAAAAACTTTCTGGCAAGAAAGCTTGGAATCTGAGAGCCCTAGCAACAGAAAGAAGGTGTCCATGCTTTCTCTCAACTCTACTATTCTGCTGAAGAGTATATACACATGAGGTCTGATGAATTATCCCTCTTTCCCCAAAAAAATCAGCCATGTTAAATTCCAACCCATTATCTGTTCTTACACACTTCACTTTGGTGTCAAACTGATTCTCAATCATGTTGCAAAATGTCATAACCAGATTTCTAACTTCAGAGTTTTTCTTCATTAGGTGAACCCAAACTGATCTACTGTGATCATCCAATATAGTGAGAAAGTAGTGGTGGCCATGGAGAGTAGGAACCTTGTAGGGACCCCAAATGTCCATATGCAATAAATCAATGCAAGCAGATGAGTTAGAAGAGCTAGATTGGAAGGGCAACCTTTTTTGTTTGGCAAAGTGACAACAATCACAAACTAGATTTTTATTCATTTGAATGGTGGGATCTAGTTAATTCAAACATTGAATCTTGGTGTATGAGGCATGCCCTAGCCTAGCATGCCACAAAGTACATTTGTTTGCAGTAGATGTAACAATACAAGCATAAGGAGAAGCAATAGGAAAGACTAAGTGGTACAACCCATTTTGGAGCTCAGCCATTCCAATCATCTTGCCAAGGGTAGGATCCTGTATAATGCACTGATTAGTGTGCAATTCCATAGTGCAATTAGAGCTCTTGATAAAGGCACCAACAGATATTAAGTTGCAATGAAATCCAGGAACATGCAAGACATTATGTAGGATAAATTCATCAGACAAATGTATGGATCCAGTGCATGTAATAGCAACTTGTAGACCATTAGGCAAGCTAACATGCATATTATGAACCTCTTTCTGGTATTCTAACAGGTTCTTATGACACACAATGTGGTGTGTGGCACCATTGTCCAAAATCCACTCATGCTTGCTATAACTCACAGAATGTGATAAAGGGACCATATCTTCTAGTTGAGTTCTTGGCAATGGGATGACAGACACAGATGTTGTGTTGGCCTGCACAGTAGGATGATCAATGAGAGTGTTTTGATATCCTCCAGACCCCTTTTGCATCTGCATAAATTCCAAGAAATTCTTGAAATCTTCTTGGGTAAAAGATGCCCATGCATAAGGTTTTGGTTGCTGCATTGTCACAAGTCCTTGAGCTTGGTTGATTGAACCTTGATTCTTTGATCTTGGTTTCCACCCCGGGGGATACCCATGCTTTTTATAGAATTTGTCTTGTGTATGTCCAGTGTATCCACAGTAAGTGCATACAGGTTTCTTACTCCCTGTTGAGAACTTTTTGAAACCCTGCTGACCCCCATGTTCTGCATTGGCCAAGAAAATGCTACCAGCTGCTGAGTTCTCTCCAACTTGATAGAGCTGACTACCAAATCCAGTTGTGGACATCTGAAATTGCCTCTCTTGTTGAGCTATCATGGAGTAGACTTCACACACATCCGGTAGGGGTCTCATAAGCATGATTTGGTTTCTTGCCCCAGTGTACCTTTCATGCAATCCAAGCAGGAATATAGACAATTTGTCCTTTTCAACTAATTTAGACCATTTATTTTCTTTCCACACTGACATTTTGGGTTACAATTGCATAACACAGTAGGTCTGAGGATTGTGAGCTCATCCCATAGCAATTTCTGCTTGGTGAAATACTCATTCAAGGTATTATCTCCTTGTTTTGTTTGATAGATCTCACATTTTATTTCAGCAGTTCGAAACAAATCTTGCTGACTAAATCTTCGTTTCAGATCATCCCATATGCCGTAGGCTGTTTCTATCCAGAGAACACTATTCCCAACTGTAGGAGATAGGGATCGCACAATCCATGATACAACAGTATTGTTGCACCGTTCCCATATTCCATATTTGCGATCATCTAGGGCTGGTTTGGTAATAGAACCATTGATGAATGCAAGCTTGTTCTTGCAGGACAGGGCCATTGTCATAGCCTAACCCAAGGGTGGTAGTTTGATCCATCCATAGGGGTCGAAACTAGCACCAATGCAGGATTTTCATTGGCGTGCAAATAATAGGGGTTAGATTGGGATTCTAGATCGAAGATTACCTCTCCAGGGCTCGATCCAGTCGTCGATGCAGGAAGAGGAACTCCATTTGCAGCAGTTGTCGGAGTCCCCGCCGTGTTGTTGATCGGAGTTGGCTGACTGCTAAGAGGAGGCCACGCCGTTACCATGAGGACACAATCTCTAGGAGCACTGATCTATAGCTCTGATACCATGTGGCGAATCAGTGCTTGCTTAGAGAAGATAGAAGAAGGAAGAGAAGGTAAGGAGAAAA